TAGCTTTGAATGCATGTATCGTTTATTCTATATATTTACTACTGAATCAAAAAAAAATTGAAGGTTAAACGGTAAAAATTGTGTGATAAAATGAATAGATGAAACGACAGTTTTACTAGATATCTGAGAGATGGTGGACGGACCGGGTACATAGGGAACCCTATCGTGAACGTTGTCTCATACCGGATGAGGTATGATAATTTGGCGCTCATATTGGACGGGGTATGGGGACGCCCCGCTCCCACCCTCATATCAGACGTGGTATTGAAGTTTGGTAAATTGACACTCATACCAGACGGGGTATGGGGACGACCCGTAATTGAAAATGTTGAATAAAAGGGTTCATGCATAACGGAGACATCCCTATGAACTCCTATGGATATCAGCAGGCTGGTAAAAAGAGTTATAGTTATTGTTGATTTATTGATGATGGATATAGATTTATAATGTGTGTTATGATTGCTGATTATATATGGAATCATAATCTATATAATATTATTGTCTGTATAGATTATTTTTATGAATCTCACTACGGTAAGTGAATGGTAATAGTTTTATTATTGATAAATGAATTTTCTTAAATTAAGTATTCAATTAGTTATTTTGATTTTATACCAACCTTTACTTATGTGTCGGTGATATAGTGTGATATCCTTACTGGACTAGTGTGCTCATCCCTTATTTAACCATTTCAAATCAAAAGGATTAGGTTACAGAGTCTGATCCGCAAGAGGATTGCGAGTAGATACTAGATTTCTTTATTTTCCGTTCATTTTCTTATTTCTTGTATTACTTTCAAAAAGGTGAATTCCGTAACACTGTTTGGTACTTTAAGTTATTTGTATAAGAAATATAAACCCTGAACTTTTATTACGCTTCCGCACTTTAATTATTTTTTATTTCATTTGAATATTTCCGGGACCGTTACACTATATGACATACTTGTTAAGAGGAGTAAAAAAAAAAATGCAAATTTATATCAACAAATCATTGGTAATTTTTAAACTAAGGTTTTGTTATTTGTGATGTACTTCTCTTCTTTTTACAAATGATATAGAGCATGTTGAAAATTAGTAATTACATAAGATATTTCACTCTTCATTGCACATGA